CTGAGGGCAGCTCCCGGGCCTGGAGAAAGCCAAATTGCCAAAACTGAAGTCGCTTCCAGCACCATCTGAGAGGCCGGGTGTCCTCACGCCTCTTCCTTCTGCCCAGTGGGCAGCACCAGACCAGAGTCCACGGCCCCAGAGAGCCCTCGGACAAAGCCAGCGGCCGGGCCTTACTTGTCCCACCTGGGCCCGCCGCCTGGATGGCATGCCTGGCCTGTCAGTATTTATTGCCTCCGTACGTGCCGTCCTCTGGGCCCGCTGGCCTGCCGCCTCCGCCCCCAGGCTCCATGCCATCATCCCCAGGCCTCCCGGACGCAGCCAGGACCACTGTGGGACCAAGCGTGCACAGTCGGAGCTGTCCCCTGTGCTCCCCCCGCCCTCCCCCGCCCCCAGGTCAGGCGCCCCCAGGTCAGGCCCGGCTGGAACGCACAGGAGCCTGTCCCCGCTTCTCTTCTGACCGGGAAATAAACTCCACCTGGTGTCTGCTGCTTGGCTCTGGGCGGGAAGGAGGGCGGGAGGAGGGCGGGGCCATTCCTCTGCGGTCCCCAAGAGCCAGGTGTGGTGGCCACTGCCCTGCCCTGGTTGAAGGGCTGACAGCCTGCCTCGCCCTTCTGGCAGAGGTGCCCTGTGGGCGGTTCAGACCTGGAAACTCCCAAAAGCACCGAGGCTCTGGGTGGGGCAGCCAGGTTGTGGTTCAGTTGGCCTGTCCTTGAGCCCCTGGCCCCCCTCCTGGCCTCAGGAAACGCCCCAACCCCAGAGAAGAGGAAGGAACTTCCTGGGAGACAGCTCCCCAGAGGCAATATGGGAACCAGGGGTGGCTGGGCCCAGGGGCCGTGGGCGGCCTGAGGCCGGGCTGCCAGGGTAGACAGGAAGGCAGGGCCAGGGGCCCAGAGGTGGATTGGGAGGGTGGAGACTGTCCCCGGCTGCGGACTGTCCCAGGGGAGCCCTCAGGGCCACCAGTAACTGTCCCCCCGCCCAGCCCTGGGGGGGGAAAGGGCAGGTTGGTGACCTAAGCTCCAGATGGGGTCAGTGCCAGACCCCTTTTGCTGGACTGACTTGGGTTTTGAAACCTGCCCTCTCTGAGCCTGTTAAAGTGGTTATGGCCCGGCTGGTGTGGCTCAGTGGTTGAGCATGGACCTATGACCCAGGAGGTCACGGTTCAATTCCAGGTCAGGGCACAGGCCCAGGTTGCAGGCTCAATCCCCAGTAGGGGGCGTGCAGGAGGCAGCTGATCAATGATTCTCATTGATGTTTCCATCTTCCCCTCCCTTCCTCTCTGAAGTCAATAATTTTTAAGTGGTTGTGTGTCCCAGGCAGGGGCAGGGCTGCTGTCTCCTGGCCGTGCCCTCCCCGCCTGCCACTTCCCAGTGCTTATCGGCAGGAGCCCTGCCAGCTGGGGTGGCCAGGAAATGCCCTCCTGCCCCACAGGTCAGTGACCACAGGTCCTTGCCAGGACGGCTCCCGAGGGCTGGCCACCTCCCCTCCCCACCAGGACCCCTGTGGGATCCTGGGGCTGGGCCCGGTGCTGGGTGACCAAAGGGCGCTGCCCGCATTGCCCGGCTCAGACACAGCCCCAGAGCAGTCCAGGAAGCAGCGTGCCCCCCGGCTCTCAGGTCCATGGGGGCAACGACCCTCCGTGTCCGCCCCCAGCCCAGGGGGACAGCTTGGGTGGGGGAGGCAGGGAGATGGTACAGCTCAGGCCTTTCCCTGGAAGGTCAGACGCAGGCACCGGGGAACCAGGAGGCTGCTCTGGAGAGGCGGGCGGGGCGTCGGTGACACCAGGTGCGGCCGTCAGGCGGCAGCTGCTCCTGGGCGCGGGCCTAGCGAGGCTTCCTCCAGCCCAGAGGCCTATTTTCGTGCTTGGATTTTCCCAGTTGCACATGTGACCTCGGACCCCGAGTGCCAAGTTGTCCAGGCGCACCGCCAGCAGCCAGGACTTTGTTCTGGCTCCTCCCCTGGCGAAGGGTCACACGAAGTGGCACCTACAGAACCTGCATGACGTGTCTCTCGGGTCCCAAGTCTAACCTGATCCTTCTGGGTGCACCCTGAACCCCTGTCCAACCTGGTGCTCCTGGGCCCGGCCTCGCCGCCCCAGCCAGCCTCTGGTCCCCCTCCCCCATCCACCTCATCCCCCAGCCACCCTCCAAGCTCTGCCTCCTCGCCCACCCCAGGTGGACCCTCCTTCCACTAGGGGGTGCCCTCCTGCCCCAAGGTCAGTGACCACAGTCACCAGAGCAGGACCCTGCATGTGACCCCTTAGTCACCAGTCACTGTGACAAGAACCTCCTCCAGGCCCAGCACTGTCCACCCTGCCGTCGCGGCCGTCAGTCCACCAGGCCACGCTGACCACGGCACCTGCTTCCCGGCTCCGCTCCCACCTGTGCCGCTCGCCGTGGCACAGCCCTGCGTCCCCTCTGCTGCTCAGCAGAGACCCTGCGGCCAGGAGATGTCCTTCCGCGCCGGGGGAGCCCCTCCTGAGTGTCCGCCAGCCTGCTGTTCACCCCTCACCCCTCGGCACCCCCAGCCTGGCTGCAGGTGGGAAGGGGGATGTTATTCTGAAGACTGTTGTGGAGAGCAGCCTTTGTCACACATTGAACCACTCCAGAGTCCAACCATATTTGAGGGGCACTTCCTCTGGAGGATGTTCTGAGCAGCTGTGCCGGTCGAGAGATGCCACAGCCACAGGGCAGGCGGCCGTGACCTCCAAGGGCACCTCCAGCTCCAGGCCAGGGCACAAGGGGGACACCAGCCTTCCCCTAGGGCGAGGCCGGCAGAGGCGTTCAGTGAACCCGGCTGTGTGGGGGCTGGAGGCAGCCTCGCAGCAGCTCCTTCACCCAGCTCCTGACCGACCCGAGACAGGGGACCACAGGCCTCCCCCCACTTCGCTGCTCCCACCCGGTCAGTAGCGGGCAATTAGAGATAGGTAGAGATGCCTTGAGGAGAAGGCGTCAAAACACCCTGACCCAGCCTGGCTGGCGTGGCTCAGTGGTTGAGCGTCCACCTATGAACCAGAAGGTCACGGTTCGATTCCCAGTCAGGGCACAGGCCGGGGTGCGGGCTCGATCCCCAGTGTGGGGCGTGCAGGAGGCAGCCCATCAGTGATTCTCTCTCACCATTGAGGTTGATGTTTCTATTTCTCCCTCTCCCTTCATCTCTGAAATAAGTACAAATACATTAAGCAAGCAAACACAAAACCACCGTGACCCATCCACGCCAGAGCCCGAGTCAGGCTGTTCCCCCAGGATCGGGACTCGACTGTGGCCACCTGGGCTACAGAGCGGTGGCCCTGACACCACCCGCACCAAGGCGGGCTCCTCAGCTCCAGCCATGGAGGCTGACTCGACTCGAGTGGGTTCGACCGTAGCCAGTGGCCTGATCCTCCTCTGGTCGGCTCCCCCTTGGTCGCAATGTCTCCTCTGGAAATGCTTCTCGAGATGCTCTGGGCGACACTACCTCACGCCATCACAGAAGGTGGTGTCGCAAATGCCTTCACTCCGTCCCCATCAGCTGAAAGGACTCAAGCCCCGGTATTTAAGCATCTAAGCTCCAACGTGCCAAGTATGTAGATGCTTAAATACTGGGGCTTGAGTCTACATGTGGTACAAAGGTCCCTCGTCTCAGGCCCCCAAATGCGGTCTGTAAAACCGGGTCACAGCAATCACAGGAAACCTGGGAGTTAGGGCGCGGTCCCCACCTGGGCCCAGAGAGCAGAGAGCACTGGACTGGGGTGGGGACGGCGCCAGGGAGGCACGTGCTCTCTGCAGGAAGTTCCAGCTCCTGTAAGTCACCCTGTGAAGCGGACGGGATCCCAGCGGCACA